AGGAAGATGATGTAATGACTATCTTCAAGTACCTCTTGGACAACAACAAGATCAAGCTACCACCGATCACAGATCAAGAGGAAGCTAAAAGGACCAAAAATCTAAAATATTATACGTATCGCAGAAGGGTCCATCATCCCACCAAGGCGTGTTATGTCCTTAAAGACAAAATCCAGGCCTTAATTAATGTCGACGTCATAACTGTGAAACCAAAGGAAAAGAAAGTGTGTGCAAATACAGTATCCATCAGTTTCGACTTTGTCCCTCTATCGTGGTTCTAGCCAGAGCCTGTGTCGAAGGTGGAAATGAAGACGGTTAATGATGACCCGCATGGGCAACTCCAGAAGGGTCTTGTGCCACATACGACCTCTAATGGTGAAATTCTTTGGGTCCATCCATATTTGCTCGAAGATAAACAATGGGTGACATCCTATTGCAAGAAGAAGTCCAATAGTAAGGGCAAGTCTTGTTGTCCTACCTCAGTAATCTCGGAGAAAGATGACAAAGGTATCCCAACCCTCTCACTTTCTGAAGACGAGCATGAAGTCTTTGTAACCAATGAAGAATCGGCTTTCGCCACCATGAGCGGGAATGAATATCGGTACAAATACCCAGGGGCTTTTGACAAGAATGCCAAAACTTTGGCTGAACTGGGGGTGGTTTCAGCTTCCTCTAAACTGACTAACAAGCCCCAACAACAACCAACTACTAAATAGAAGGAAGTTGAGGCAAAACAAAAGGAGCCCTAACACAAGGAGGTTCAAATTCCGAAGCAGTCTTACTTCAATCGATCGATTAGGAGAGAAAAACTGAAAAGTTTGAGCACTCCGTACCACTTCGATGTTATGGCTCAACTGGCTAACATCCCCATGAGGATCACTCTTTATGAGTTGCTATGTCTTTCAAAAGACACCAGGGAGGCCTTGCAAGAAGCGTTAGCTAATTCTGAAGTGCTTCTTACTCAGATCAAGCAAGCCCCTGAAGAGCCACAGCTATCAGTTTAACACTGCAATTTGGTAGCCACACAGTTTCCTTGCATCACCTTCACCATGGATGACATGCAAGTTAGTAACTCAAAGCATGATAGACCCTTGTACTTCACCGAGTACATCGCTCAACTGTCATCAATCGGATCCAAGTCGATCTGGGTTTCACAGTCAACGTCATGCCACTCCAATTGATTTATCATCCAGAAACTCCCACCAGCAAGTTTGCGTCCATAGGCACTATTATCTACAGTTGTAGGCTGTCTAAAAATCACAATAGATAGCTGATCCCCATCAAAACACCGATGATGGAAGTTACACTCTGACGACTTCCAGAAGGTTACAATTTGAAGACTTTCACGTAGATCGCTAAAGGTTACAATCTGACGACCTTCACGACAACTGATGGAAGCTCTAATCAAACAGCCTTCATAATCAACATCGGGAGTTACAATCTAACGACTCTCATATATCAGAGAGCTAAAGCAAAGATTACAAAATGACGATCTTTACAACGCTTCGACAGAAAGAGACTACAAATCGACGGTCTCTTCAAATCAAACTGTGGAAGTCCTCCCCGCACACCAACATCAAGACGCATCGCGTTCATAGCCACGAACGCAGCTCAACGTAGTTCTAATCGCTGCTCAACGCAGCTCCAAGCGCTGCCCAACGCAGCTCTATACCGCTGCCCAACGTAGCTCAACGTAGCTCCAACCGTTGCTCAACACAGCTCCAAGAGCTGCCAGACGTAACTCTATACCGCTACCAAACGCAGCTTCACTCGCTGCAAACGCAGCTCAGATCCGCTGCCAAACGCAGCCAACGCAGCTTCTATCCGCTGCCAAACGCAGCTTCCATCCGCTGCCAAATGCAGTTTCCAAGCCACCAAACGCAGCTTCTAACAAGATGCCAACGCAGCTTCCAGCCGCTGCGTCTGAGCTTTCAGACACTGCGTTCAAGCTTCCAAACACTGCGTTTGAACGCAGAATTCACACTAGAACGCGGATTTTGCGTTTGACTCATTCAAACACGAGCTGAACGGTTCCAAAACCGTTTCCCACGATCTGAGGGGATCACAACTCCACTCAGGAGTGATTTAAGGGGCGGTTACATCCCATTAGCCCCACTTAGGAGCGAATTAAGGAGGTGGTTACACCCCTTAATCCCATATAAATAACTGAAAATCAATTTAGTTAAGAGGGCGGTCGGTTGGAACTTCTTGGCTAGTCAACAGGATCCTTAGAGCATTTCTGGAGCTTTGGAGATCGGCAACAAGATCTTCTTCATCCTTGGCTTATAACCGACTTTCGGTTAAATCAACTCTTTCATAGAGTTTTAAACTCGTTCAGAGTTCTCCACAACGTCAAATCGTGAGGAGAAGACCCTCCACAACATCAAATCGTGAGGAGAAGACCGTTGTTCCAGTGAGTACAGATATTCGGATCGTCAATGAGAAGCAAACTCGACGCGAGCATTCGAGGGAGGAATCTCATCGCCACCATGAAGAACCCAGATTTAAACAAAGGAGAGAATCCAGATCATTCTCTTCTCTTTTGTAATCAAGAAATCCAATTGTAACTAAGATTAAAGGAATACAAATCAATTTTCCTTCGTTTTTTTTACTGTAAATTTTTCCACAAACAACAGTTCAACACCAGTGGGTCCAGACCACTGGGTAAAATCTGTGTGAAGTCCCAGCTTGGAGATTTCAAATCCAAAGTCACATGTTACATGATTGACGCAAAGACTTCCTATAACTTACTATTAGGTCGACCTTGGATCCATGGTAACATTATAGTTCCTTCCACCCTCTATCAGTGTCTAAAGTATATGGACACGAATAATGAGGTTAAGATGATGGTCGTGGATAAGCAACCATTTAAGGGGTTGGAAAATTATTTTACCAACTCCCTTCTATATGGTGCTAAATTCGATATTGAACCATCGGCCTAGGGCACGAACAGCAGAGAAAAAGCTGATACAGATGCTAGGCTCGATTACAATGAAGATCTTGTATTAAATGACATTGAACCCTTTGTAATCGATCTTGACGGTGGTGAATCGTCGGACTGATGTTGTAACTGGAAACTTACCGATTATGCAATAAATGATGATTTAGAGTACTCACCTTGTATTGATGATGTAATGCAGGGGCTGTATAATAACCCTGACATACATATGCTGCTTCTATCGTCTTGCATGATAAAGAAGCATGTCCAAGACTCATTCGGAATAACTCTTGTCCTTCCTGCCAAGGTAGGGGGTTGAAAAGAGATAGTCTTCTTTAGAGGAGAGTTGTGCCCACCATCAAATCCCTTCTTGAAGAATGACAGCGATGATGAAAAATCTGGTCACCATTTATTCAGATATAGTCCACAAGCACAGGATTACATGATGAAATGGGGATACAACTTCATGCTCAAGGAATGTCTTTGCTTTGGTCGAGGTCCTCGAGTTTCACCCCGGCCTGCCTATGTACCAAAAGGGAAGCCTGACAATTACTACGGACATAGAAGAGGTCTAGGCTATACTTCTTCATCCTCTGACGAATTCTGTTGGCAGGTTAATAACTAATTGGCCAATCCGAAGAGGAATGGACATTCGTCAGATTCTTCAGAATGGGATTCTGATGTTAGCCTTGGGGATATGTTCAAAGGCCTATGTCAAACATGACTATTGTCAATCTTGCCACAATGGGAGAAGACGATCAATTGACAACCTGGGAAGATCCTTGGATCCATCACTTGAACATCCAGTATGGTAATAGATTCGAGCAAAGAGAACCTCCTACTAAGGATAAGGTGGCTCAAATAAACATGGGCGACGAAGCAAATCCAAAGCCCATATTCATCAGTGATAGCCTCCCATCAGAAGAAAAGGAAGAGTTGATTGCCCTAATCAGGGAGTACATCGACATATTTGCATGGAACTATGAAGATATGCCAGGATTCGACCCAAATATGGCAATGCACCACATTAACATCAAACCGAATGTCAAACCTGTCAAGTAGCAACAAAGACGGTTTTGCTCGCAGATTATGGAGGTGATTGAAGCTAAAGTCAAAAAGCTAATCAACTCAGGCTTCATCAGGGAGGAGCGACATCCGAATTGGGTGGTGAATATTGTTCTGGTCCTTAAAAGAATGGGAAAATTAGAATCTATATCGACTTTAGAGATTTGTATATCGCTTTCCCAAAATACGACTTCCCTCTTCCCATTACGAACGCTATCATCGACAACACGTGTGGGTTTGAGAGAATGTGATTCATGGATGGATTCTTAGGGTACAACCAAATCAAGATGTATCCAGACGACGAGAAGCACACCTCGTTTAGGATGCCGCTCGACATCTTCTACTACATGGTTATGCCCTTCGGCCTAAAGAACGCTAGTGCTACATACCAACGAGCTATGACGAAGATTTGAGCACATCTGAAAAACCATCGAGTGCTATGTTGACGACTTGATTATGAAAAACCGTAGCAAAAATGATCATATCAAAGACTTGAGAACAATATTTGATCTCATGCGGAGTCACCAATTGAAGATGAACCTCACCAAGTCTTTCCTAGGAATGTCTTGTGTCAAGTTCATCGGATTCGTTGTCACCACGAAAGGTATCCATATTATCCCGGATAAAGTGAAAGTGATCCATGAATTACGACCTTCGAGAAATCTTAAGGAACTTAGAGGATTGTAAGGATGGCTAGCCTATATATGTTGGTTTATATCGAACCTCTCTGAAAATGCTAACCAGTCTCCAAACTCACAAAGAAGGGTGTGTCATTCATTTGGTATGAGGTCTGCCAGAAAGCATTTAAGGATATCAAGGCATATTTGTTGAATCCTCCTATTTTCATCATACAAAAGTCGGGCAAACCATTCCTGATCTACGTCAAGGCGATGAACCACTCGTTGAGTGCTTGCTCACACAAGACGATGACAATAGTCACGAGAAGGCGGTACACTATTTGAGCCAAACTTTGGTAGGCGCCGAATCTTGATATCTAATGAGTGAAAAGGAGTGCCTCACCCTGGAATCCATAATCCAGAAGATGCAACACTACTTGGTTGGGCAGATAATTTATGTCATTTCCAGTGTTAACTCAATCCGAGTATTCATGACCCAACCCGCTTCCATGAATTTGTGGCTTGCGAGATGGGCGTTACTTCTGTCACAATACGACATCCACTTTAAACAACAGAAGTCGATAAAAGGACAGACTATCTTTGATCTTCTAGCAATTAATCCTACAAAGGATAAGGCCGAGTTATTCGAAGATTTGCCGGATGAAACCACAAAGTCAATACTACCTCTCACCAGCAGGTGTGGCAATTGTACTTCGATGGCACTTCTCGAACAACTAATGTGGTAAGCACTCCTGGATGTTCTAAAATATCTTCAAGAGTTAGAGTTGTCCTAGTTTTCCCGGAGAAAAATGTAATACGCCAAGGCTATTCACTTATTGGGCCATGCTCCAAGAATGTGGCTGAGTATAATGCGATGCTCATTGGACTCAGTTTCACTAAAGAGCTAGGGGTGGAGTACTTTGAAGCTTTTGTTGATTCTCAGTTGATAGTTAATCAAGTTCGAGGAGAGTACAAAGTTAAAAACCAAGACCTGATCCCATACCACCAAGCGGCTGTCGAGATAGCAGACTCATTTAAAGAATTATTCATTGAGTACATCACGCGCCTCCAGAATGCTTATACATATGCACTAGCGATTCTAGCAGTCTCTTTGGCCCAGCCTCCCAAGACAGAACAGTTGGTTACTGTGAGAACTTACCAACTCTTCATACTAGATTACGCCCTAGACATCAAAGAGGTGTACGCAACCGGTATTGAACTCAAGTCGGTTCTAGCATGTAGATTGTCAAAGTCCGTTCTAGCAATCTCTTAGATTTAATGCTACAATGGTAGTATCACCCACCGACATGAAGTTCCTAGAGGATACTACACATGGTATTCTTAAGGATAACCTGAAATCAACCGATTATTCAAGATGAAAATCAACCATCTGAATAATTCATTCTTAATCATTAAAAAATGATTAAGACACTCCCACTGTGGTTATTTAATCATTACCAAGATGATTAAAACTCTTCCACTATTGACTCTAAGTTCCTTTGGAGATGAATCTCATCCCATCGGCTTCAATTTAATTAGAACAAAATTTTTAAAGTCTTCTAGGTCATCGATATTTGCTCGATAACCAAGATTCTCTTGTGAAGTGAAAGATAACAAAATACCATCTTTCCTTCAGCCCTGATCCTTTGTTGTTTCCAACAGCCAAGATCAACCCTCCCGCTGTGACTCTTGCAATACTCTTATGTTGAGATGGGATTTAATGACTCCACTTGGTCAATCTTCCCTCACAAAATTCCCATTGTATAGCTATTGATTGTTCGATGACTTACGGTTCACCACCAAGAAATCCTTCACTGATAAAATCAATTGATGGTGGGTCCACCAAACAAAAATCTTTAACCATAAAGAAAGCGAGAGATAAGAAAATACATTCTTTCCTTCTTTTATGGTTAAGCTCACACATCCTCCCACTGTGTCCAGACATTTCACACTCCCACTAATGAAATCCTAACACGGTGCTTGAAATTTCACTTTGCTGATCCATGATAATTATCAAGCTCCTACTTCATGTTAAGTTTATGTAGGAAAATACCGTCGAGAACTTAACATCAAACTCCCAAAGTGATTTATACAAATCAACACTCTCCCATTGTTATTTGTACTACCCCACTCTCCTTTGGTCAAGCCTCCAGACAGTTAGGGCCAAAGCCAAAACCCCCTCTCGATTCCTTCTACGAATGAGAGGTCCATTCAAATTGAGCGACCAAACCTTTAAATAGTTAGGGTCATCCCAAACTCCCACTTGGTCAAGCCTCCAGATAGTTAGGGCTAAAGTCAAAATCCCCTCTCGATTACTTCCATGAATGAGAGATCCACTTTTAAATTTGGTAATCAAACCTTCCGACAGTTTAGGGTTATCCATATCTTTTCTAAGCCAACGCCACGAGGTGTAACTCAAACATGAATCTCGGAGTGGACATCCCACTCTTAGTTTCTCCTTTCCAGATTCTCGGAGTGTAGATCCCACTCTGAGTTTCTTTTGAAGTGAAAGATAAGAAAATAGCTTCTTTTCCTTCAGCACTAAAGTGGAAGATAAAAAAATACCTTCTTCCCTTTTAGCGCCAACTTCTTTTGAAGCGAGAGATAAGAAAATACATTCTCTCCCTTCAACGCCAAAGTAAGAGATTAAATAAAAACCTTCTTCCCTTTGGTACAACTTTTGAAGCGGGAGGTAAGAAAATACCTTCTTCCTCTTCAACACCGGTTTCGTCTTTGCCCCAAGAGAAGACAAAACATGGTTCGTCTTTGCCCCAAGAGAAGACACAACTTGTTGAAGCCAGAGATAAGAAAATACCTTCTCTCTTCAGCACCAAAAATTCATGCTTTTCATGCATGGGGGACTTTATCTCGATCCCTTATTAGAGATAAGTCTGCATCTAACACATGCTGCTGGGTGGTTCATTCTCGTGAAATTAACAAAGTCTACGTATTCAATATCGTAGCCAGTGATTATTATTAAATTAATAACCTTTGAATCCATGCCTTTTATGCATAAGGGACTTTATCTTGATCCCTTATTAGAAATAAGTCTACATCTAACACATGCTGTCAGGTGGTCCATTCCCATAAAAATGTCGAGGCCTACATATTCAATATCGTAGCCAGTTATTATTATTAACTTAATAGCACCTGAATCCATGTCTTTCACACATGGGAGACTTTATCTTGATCCCTTATTAGAGATAAGCCTACTTCTAACACACGCCCAAGTTGTCCATTCCCGTAAAAATGACGATGTTTATGTATTCAATATTGTAGCATTAAGTCTAAGAGAGTTTATTCTTTCAGCACAACGTTACATGTAGAACGGACTTTGACAATCTACATGCTAGTCTAATTCTAACGGTAGTTGGTAAAGGTTCATCAAATCTGTTGATGGCGGAGAGTTTGCCAACAATCCTATTATGCATAGATAAGCAACTAGCGACGGATTCGCTATTCTAGCTCAAGGAGCTTCTCTTCACAAAACTCGCGCAAGTTCCACCTTCAAATCAGCTTTTATGGAGTCTGTGGTGGTAGTCAAAGCCTTGGTAACCTCCTCCTCCATAACACTGCTAAATCAACCTCTTTAGTTGTGGAAGGCTATTCAGATTTAATAGTCACTGACACACTAGCTTCATCAGTTGGTCTCTTGACTTGAGCATCCGGGGTAGCCTCAAGTCCAGTCAAAGTCTGCACAATCATTAGATTCGAGGATTTGATGAATTCCATTTCAGAAGGAGCCTTGAATGCATTTTAGAAGTCCTTGAGATGTTCGGTAGCCTTTGAGATTATAGTCATATCGGTACCAACGGATGGTCCTATAATCAAATCTTGCACAAAGGACTCAACCTGGCAAGCGTCCGATGCATTCTTAGCTTGCTCTTTTCACTCCGATGAGTATACGAGTATAAACTACTTCTCCTTGAACCTCTGATAGGTATATAAGGTTAAATTTCTCCCTAAAACTCCAATGAGTATATGAGGATAAACTACTCCTCCACACTCCAACACTTTAAGAGCTTAAACTGTGTTGTAGGCGTCGAAAATTGCCTATAGGTCCCCACACATGGCTCGAGATAGAGAGAATACGATGAACATTGCTTTTCAAGTCACAGAAGCTCATGTGACAATGACAAATACATGAAGTGAGTCGACGGACCATTCGGAGCAACGAAACTTCGGAATAATAAAAACACGAACTAATCAGGAGCCCCGCGTCGCTTACGAAAGGTGAAGTCCCCTCCTATCCTATTTATTCAATATATAATTCAATTATGGGAGCTTGTAGATATCCTCGTTAGCTTTCTAACGCATCTTGAACCACACAATTCCAGGTTCATACGATGAAGATATGGTAGAAACGGATAGAACGCGCGAATCAAAGTTCATGCCAAAGTTGGCCAAGACACCAAGAAGTGTCTCGGCCAAGGCTTGGCCGAGACACCCACGGGTGTCCGCAGACCCGAAAAACTAAATTTTGGCAGTTTAAAGCTGTTTTCCGATCGTTAACTACCTGGATTTATTTCAACTAATAGAATATCATCCAAGAACATGGTTAAGTGGTTATAACTGAAGATAAGAGTGAATCGATCGTCCTTATCCGAACACAGGGCTCCTGAAGCCTATAAATACAACCCCAGGGCCTTCATTTTTTTAGATCTGGAATTCACGAGCGTTGGTGAAGCCCTGATGAATTGAAGACTGAAGGAGCATGAATTTCAGAGGGGAGGAGGAGACTTTAGCGAATTCTTTGGCATAAAGAATGAGAGTTTGATAGATCTGCAGCCCGATTCTTTTCCTTGAGATCGCCCCGTTACGGTGATCTCGAGAAGAGTGGTTATCTCGTTGTTGCCGAGATAATTGCTTCAGTTTCTTAATTGCTTCATGAATCAACAAAGCTCCAGATCTGATCTGATTGTTTGGTGGTCCATGGATACTAACGTCCCCATCACAGGCCAAGATCCCACGCAAGCAGCCGGTGATAAACACCTGTTGCACTATTTGACGAGAGTTGTACTTTTTTTTTCATTGTGTAAGGGTCTTATAAAAGACTAACTTTTTCTTTTCATTGTAACGTTTAAAGTTGTAATGAATACAATAATGAAATTACTAACTTTCTCCCCAAACAAGCTGACGACCACAGTGGGAGCCAATAACTTCGTTGCCGAAGCTATCGTGATGCAACGAGCGATCAAGATCCTGGTGGCTGAAGAGGTCGAATACGAGTTCGACCAACAGAAATTTGAGGAGTATGTCTCTTCCTCCTCATCCAGATCTGCCTCTCCTCGCAAGCACAGGAAGGTCTCCTCCGCCCGAAAGATCCGCTGGTCTTCAGATCTGAAGACTCAAGAAGGCGAATTCCCCGCTACCATTGCTGCAGCCGCACCTCACAACGATCTGCCGGTGTCTAATGAGACCAGATCTACAGATCTGAACTTCTTCGTGATCAAGGAGTTAACTACTGAAGGTGCGCCAACTCCATCAAGGAGAGCACGTCAAAGGCAACGCCAACGCCTCCCGCGCCAATTCGCCAAGGCTTTGGATCAGGTGGACGGACTCCGTTACTATGCGGATTTGGAGTTTAGAAAGCACCAAGTGGCTAAGCCATCTCCACAGCAAGCTTCGGGAACCTCCTCCCAACCACCTACTAACGAATGAGTTCGTGTCAAACAGAACTGTTCCACTCTTGAGGAGCGCATTCAGAAGCATCGCGTACTTCTTGCGCATGCCCAGATCCTTATGCGAAAAGCACAAGAAATGCAAAAGGAAGAGGTGGTTAAGAGATTGCCGAGATCTAAACAAATTTAGATGCCAAAGGCCAAATCAACGCCTAAGGAAAAAAGCAAACAACGTTGCTCCCCAGCCTTCGTCAACTTCGGATCTCGCTCCTTCTCCCACTACACCTTCGGTGAAACCCTACGGCGACGTGGACCTCTCCAAATTTAGAATCCCATTGAAGGATCGCCTGGGTCCTTTACACGAAGATCAAGGCAAAGCTCCTGTTAAGGAACGCTTAGGACAGTTGAAGGAACCCGAGCAATCATCCAGATTGGGGGTCGTACGCGACCTCCTAACAAGTTGATTCCCATAACTACCCGCGTGAGGGTGCCTGCACAAAACCAGGAGCCCATTAAAATTTCATCCTCACACGGGTGTGATTCCAAACGTGTGACTCCTGCTAAAGCCAATAAAGTGCTACCTATTCAGAAGAAGATGCGTCGAATAGACGATAGCGTTTCATCTGAGGAATCAAACTAACAGCCGATAGGT